TAATTTTTCGATAGCCACGATCTAATATAATATAGATAAAAAAACTTGTATTCGCTTAAAGTTCAATAACAAAAAAAAAATAAAAAAATACAAAAGTGTAGAAAATGGATTTTTAGTTTTCGAAGGAAAAAATCATAGTGTGCCGATATGCCACAGCATTAAAAATATTTATTTCAAATAGCTTGATTCAAGACAAGGAAAATGATTGGTCGTTATAATCATAAAAATTTAAAAAATCTCCAAAAACGATTGACAAATCGTACTATAATTAAAATTAAATTTCTATTTTGGATCAGGGAACCCATGGAAAAATTGCCATGGAATTTCGAAATGGCAAGGGTTTTTTTTCGTTAATTGGTTTTAAACGAACTTTTGTTTTACTCCCACAGCACAATATTAATATATGTTTACTCTCTTAAAATGAAATAGTCAAAATTCTACTAAATTTGAATTAGTACCAGCATTTTTTACTAATAAAATAGTTGTTTTCACTTTTAAATAGTTATTTTTTACTACGTAAATAGTTAAGATTTGACTTATTTAAGATTAGTCACCATCTTTCACTATTTCTGAGAGTTAAAAGTAACTCATTTCTTTAATCGTTTGCGGCCAACAACAAAGTATTATTTGAATTAAATGCATATAGGCTCCATGGTTAAATGGCCCATAAAAAACAAAGATGCAACAAGTTTAGCTAGCTCAAAACAGCAACACAAATAATATATTCAACATTAAAATATTATGAGCAATATTTATTGACAAATAAAATTGATTTTTATAAGAATCAATGATAGCCACATTGGTTATGACAACAGCTTGACAAGCTTGACAAGCGACAGACCCGAGTTCAATCCCCTGCTGGGTCAAAACTACTAATTTGACTACTTCATTCAGTAGAATATTACTAATTATTGACGAAGAGCTGCCTGTCCTCTTTTTCTGCTAGAAGAAGATGGGCACAAGAACATGCAAATTGGGGAAACGATGTGTTGATATCTAATCGATACCTTTCGTAGTTTGCTCATTTTTGGGAAATAAGTGGAGAATAACGACAATTTTCTAAAAATTGCTATATATAATCGTAGTTAGCCAAGATATCCACAAAATCTCGAAAACGTCCCGAGGGATTACCTAACTGTTATTAGGGAGGGGTATTAGGACTATCAAGCTAAACTGCCCTGTGAATTGGGATTTGAAATTTTGGAAAAAAATATCCCTTTTATTAACACCCTGTATAATGCTATGTGCACAATATCGTATTCTCAAAATTAGACGTAAGTCAAAGAATCCACTATTGGTCATTTTTTGGACTAAAATAACGACAATTTTCGATAAATTGGCATATAATCGTAGTAAGCCGCGATATTCACAAAATCTCGAAAACGTTCCGAGGGATTACCTTACTTATATTAGGGAGGGGTATTACGGCTATCAAACTCAACTGCCTCAAGAATGGGATTAACTTGAAATTTCGAAAAAAATACATCTCTTCGTTTAACACCCTGTAGTATAATGCTATGTGCAAAATATCGTATTCCCAAAATTAGACATAAGAGTCAAAGAATCAGGTATTCAGAATTTCCAAAGATTTTCAAAATTGATTCAGTAATTTTGCAATAACGAGCTTTCAAACTAGGTGCGTCGATTTTTATGACGAGAAGTTTATATGAATACCATGTTGGATTACTTTTAAGGTATTTATAACGAATATTAAAACTTTTATAATAATAATAATAATAATAATAATAATAGTCTTTATTGCAATATCATAAATAGCTTACAAACACATTAATGTAAATATTTTTAGAAACATTGCAAAAGGCGAAGTTCGGTTGGACACACGAGGTGAACTCCCGTTCTTCCACTTAACCTTATAACTATATAGGTACCTAAATTATTATAATACTCCTAACAAAAAAGTATAATACTTCTAACAAAAAAATAAAAAATAAAAATATATTTATAAGTGAACAGAATAAGAATATCTAACTACACCTAATAGACAAGAATACAAAATAAAGATTTCATTACATTAATTTTATATAGGGATTAATTATTATAATCAAGAATAAAAATAATTAGTTAATTTATTTGATATGTAGGTATTAGAAATGTTGTAAAACTATATTTTTTACATGTTTTTTAAATATTGATGGTGATAAACTCATAAGTTGCTGTGGGACTAAATTTAATAAAGAATAGATAGAATACGAGAAAGATCTCTTAAAAAATGCTGTTTTATGTCTGGGAGGAGAAATGCGATTTTTATGTCTAGTATTCAATACATGTATGTCCGTACCAAAAGTAATTTTGCTGTACAGGTAGGGGGGACATTTCGAATTAATAATTCTATAGTAAAGCATTAGGCAATGGAGAGTTCTCCTTTGTTTCATATTTAGCCAACCCAATTGGGACATATTTGCTGAAATGCCCCTTTGTCTTTTTCTTATTCCGCATATGAGACGTATACATGAATTTTGTAAAAGCTGTATTCTGTCAGAATCTTGTTTAGAAAGGCAGGAATTAATTACTGTATCCCCATGATTAAAAGAAGACAGCACAAGAGAATCACATAACATTTTTTTAAGTTCCTTGCTCAATACGTCTTTATGTGAGAATATAAGCTTTAATTTAAAAAATGCTTTCTTAATACAGCTGCTAACATGATTTGAGAATCTAAGCTCGCAATCCAATTCCAGACCTAAATTTCTGGTAGTATTAACACAAGGTAAGCTTGTATTACCTATTTTAATATCTAAATATCTTGCGTAACGTTCTCGGGTTAACTTCTTACCAAAAAACATAAGTTTACTCTTATTAGGATTCAACTCAAGACAGTATTTTTTAGATTCAAGCAAAAGAGCATTTAAATCGTCATTAATTTGAATATTGGCATCTTGAATAACTTCCGGGCAAAATGATTTATACACCTGCGTGTCATCTGCATATAAATGGTAATTTGAATTTCTTATGGATTTTACTAATTCACTTGTATAAATTGTAAACAATAATGGTCCCAAAATGGAACCCTGAGGAACACCGCAGATGATATCGCCTAGCGTAGAAATCTCATTACCAAGTTTGACCAACTGTTTACGATTTTTTAAATAACATTCTAATAGTCTTGTCGCTCCCATATCAAACCCTATATAATGTAGCATAGACAAAAGCAGACCATGATTAACTCTATCAAAAGCCTTAGAAAAATCCAATAATATTAAAGCTGTTAATTTGTTTTGATCAGTATTAAGTAGGATGTCATCCAAAACCTTTAAGAGAGCAGTTGAACAACCATAGAATCTTCTAAACCCTGACTGCAATTCAGGTAATATGTGATATCTATCCAAATGCTCCTTTATCTGTTTATAAATGATTTTTTCGAAAACTTTTGATAATGTTGGCAGTATACTTATGGGACGCAAATCCTTAAAATCTCTGGGCTCGGCAACCTTGGGTAAAGGCATTACAACTGAATACTTCCAGATATCCGGAAATACACTATTCTCAAAACAAAAATTATATAAATGAGTAATAATGGGAAGAATTTTAGGGCAACAAAATATAACAGCATCCAACCCAATTTCATCAAAACCAACAGCTCTGGATTTAATTTTCATTATTATGTTAGCGATTTCTTGTTCATTAGTTAGTCTAAATTTAAATTCTCCAACATTATCTTTTTTATTATTCCAAAAACTGTTGATTAAGTCTTCATCGGGGGATGGGTTATTTTTCATTATATTTAGATAATAATTATTTATATTTTCTACATTACTTAAATGTTTGGGAACAGTATTTTCGCTTTTGCTACTTATGTCCATTTTTCTTAGAATTTGCCAATTTTTCTTTGAATTATTTTTAGTAATGTTGCAACTTAAAAATGCCTTCTTCTCATTCTTGACAGCTTGATTAGTGAAATTTCTTAATTCTTTGTAGTTTTCCCAATCTACAGGCAACTTACTTTTTTTATATTTCTGTAACGCTTTGTCGCGCAACTTCATAAGAAAACGTATATTGTCAGTGAGCCAAGGCGAAAATTTTTTTGAAGTTTTTAGAGTTTGCAAAGGTGCATGTCTGTTAATAATATTAAGAATTAACTGATTAAACGTTTTTATTTTATCATCTATGTATGCTATAGTATAAATTGTTTCAAATGAAATGTTTTCGAGTTCTGAATTAAAATTCTCAAGATTTATGTTTTTAAAGTTCCTGTATACTATTTGCTTGGGCGATTGTTTAATAATTTTGTTTTTAATTTCGCATTCAATCCAAGAGTGATCAGAAATATTACCACTGTCAGTCACCTTTACATGGCTCACTTTTTCTTTATCTGAACATAAAATTATGTCCAACAAAGACAAATCTCTAGTAGGTTTGCCTATTAATTGTGTTACATTGTAAGAATTGATAATGTTAGAAAACTGAATTACGTAGGAACTATCAATGTCAAAAAAATTGATATTAAAGTCGCCTGTACACAAAAAAAGGTCGCAATTGGGCATAACATTATTCAAGACTTCATTAAAATCATTACAAAAATTTTGAAAATTGCAAAAACCCGGTGTTCTATAAACAACACCAAATGAAATTATATATTTTTTTACCTTTAAGGTTATAAAAACTTGTTCAAAAGTAGTAATATGAAACTGACATAATTTGTATTTACCTAACGATTTACTTACATATATAAGCACTCCTCCTCCTCTACCAGCTCTATCATTTCTTATGACATTAAAGCCCTCAACATTTATATTTTGGTTTGATATGTTAGGTGAGAGCCAAGTTTCCGTAACCGCTACCAAAGAGTATGAATTAGCTAAAATATGTGCCTTGATATCGTTAAAGTGGCGTACAAGAGACCTAGCATTTATGTGTGCAATTTTAATATTACCAAAAAACATATTAATATTAACTTAATTAGGTATAAAACGTTAAATATTTATTACGTATATGTGTATAATATATGTATATATATGTATAATAAGTATAATGTATATTGTCTACTTTTTGTTTCTTTGATTACTCCTGGTTTTGATGTTATTTGTTTCTATCTGTTTTCCCTTATTAACTCCAATATCTTGTTGACCCTGCTTTTCCTTAGATGTCGTGGCTTCTTTAATATTTAATATTTGTATATTATTTTCTTTTTCTGGAGTCTTTTTATAACGATTATCTTCCTCTTCCTCGTCTGAAGATACTATGTCGGCACTTTCTACTAGTAACTCTTCTAGATTTTTATTTTCTAATTCTTTGGCAGTATAAACTATTCCTTCTATTATTAATTTTTGTCCCAACAATTTTGTTTCTAGATTATTTTTCTTCGCTTCTTTAAATTTACCCAGCAGAATTTTACGATTATCTCGTTCTTCTTTATTTAGGTCGTGGGCTAAAGCAACTCCAGTATTTTTCAGTTTAAATACGTTTTTAAATATATCTTGTTTTTTTATTAGTGAAGTTAAATGGACAATTATTGGTGCAGTTTTATCCTTTTTGTTTTTCAATGAAAATAAATAATTTATATCTGTTTTGCTAAATTCTGAATCTAACTTTTCCTTAATAAAGTTAACCACAAGTTCTAAAAGATTATCATCTTTGCTATGAGCGAGGCCAAAAATTAAGAAACCGTTTTTCTTTTGATTTCTTTCAAGGATATTAAGTTTCTGTTTTAATTCACTATTTTCGGTTTCAAGGTTTACAATTTTAGTTTGCAGATTTTCGTTTTCAGCTTTTTGTTTAATTATACATTCTTTAATAGATGAAAGATCTTCTTGAAAATTGTCTTGTTTTGAAGTTAACTTTTGGATTGCCACTAAAATGTCTTCATTAGTTACTTTTCCAGACATAATATTAGTTATATAGGTATTTAGATATATGGTGTGATAATTGTAATTTATTGTTGTAAGGCGGTAGCTCAGCGAGAAACCGTCCGTACCCAGCAATCGAGGTGGCAGCGGTTCAAGTCCCAGCGCTGGACTTTCTTTTTGAACAGGACCCAATATCTTTTTTTGTCGATATAAAAGTTTTTTGTAATATGCAGTTTTTACAATTAACAACGATGAAAACAAATGAAATTTCCACTTTTAGTCACTCAAAACGTTGATTATTTTTGAAAACATCACTTCCTTCCATTCACAAACACACAATTAATATTGCTTATTACTTTTAAAAAAATTAAAACCACTATAACTCATGTAATTTGCATATTATCAGACAGTATATAAGCAGTACCTCGTTCGTTCGTTCGTTATTTGTTTTGATTTGTAAAAAAAAACTAAAAATAAAAATAAGTCGATTACAATTCTGCACATCAATGTTTATAAAATAGTATACTATTTTATTTTATCCATGTGGAAAAAGGGGTTAAGTAACATTTTTAATAATAAAGGACCAAAAATATTGTAATTGCATACAAAATTAATTTTTTACAATTATATTGTTTGTCCTTTTTAACTTATTAAAAATTTTGCAACACAAGATTTAATTTAAATTACAGTATTTTATTATAAGAATTGTTACTTAACTAAATATTAACTTTTTGAAAAATGTTTATACGATAAAAAGTATTTATGCATAAACAAACCAATTTATTTTTACATTTTTAATTTTTGGTAGGCTCTAGATTAGCCATTTTAAAAAGGCAAGAAAATATCAAAATAATAGTTGCACAACTTTTCTCTAATAAAAAATGTATTCTTGTTTTTAAGTGCGGAAATTTTTTAAATATAGTTTGTTTTTCCGACTTGGATTATCTTATCAAAAAATGTAGAATTGATTTAAATACTTCGATATGGATTAGGAAAGACGTGTAATATACTTCTTCTATTTACTGAGAAATGAAGTAAGATATACATTTAAAATTTCAGATTTCGTGTTTTAACACTCGCGCTTTGGATGATAATAAGAAAAAGTATAAACCCAACTAAGCAATTTCAAGCGACCAAATTGGCTGCTATAACGTGATTTTAGATGTAGGAATACCATAAGAAGTTAACCAATTGCAATCCATATTGGACTAGCATATCAGTTATTACTGTATGAAGACGATTGTAAAAAATATTAAATCTTTTTGCTTAAAAACAAATACCAATATCCGAAAACAGTCATTATGCATAATAACTAAGGATTTTAGGAATCATGCATAATGCCTAAAGTTCTTAGTTATTATGCATAATAACTAAGAACTTTAGGCTGTACGCATAATTCTTAAAATGCTTAGTTATTATGCATAATGACTGTTTTCGGATATTGCCGGTAACACATACACAAAGTAAAACATATTGGTGGCTTCCAAGGTCGGAGCGTTCATAAATTATTCGCGTTAGATTTGGAGAAGCCCAGTTAGGAGTGTCGGTACGGCGTTACAACTAATTAACTGCAGTCTCCCGCGACGTTCGCTTAACAAAATGCAAATGTTCCAGCAGACACTTGTTGGAATGATAATTCGAATATAATTGTCAGTCGGTGGTGGTGAGTTATCGACGGCCGCGGGGGTTCCTAAACCAGCACCCCCCGCTATTTCCACTTAACAACGCCCGCCCGGTCACATCACCTTTAAGTCCGTTTCGGGCCCATGCATGGCCATGCTCCGTATTTTTTTCGATAGTCGTATCACAAGAACACCTTTGATATTGGGATTTTTGAAAACGAGAGGGAAATTGCTTTGACAAATTAGTTAGATATGTTACATAAGCTAAAATATCGGATTTTTATAGTTTAGAGTGTGGGATCATCCTGTGTGTCAAAATCATCAACAATACCAACGGAATTTTACATTTGTTACTATCGTTAATTACTAGCCAAATGCAGCAAATTGTAGATAACATACATAAATATAAAATCATTGTTTTTACAATGACTATTTCCCTTGTCTTAATTTCCACCAATCACAAACGCGCAATTTTGAATTACAAATGGTTTCTAGGTGACTATTCCACTCATTACTTTATGGACCAATCAGATTTCAGAAAACCAGTGGTTTTTTCAGTTTAACAGCGATAAAACTACTATTTAGGTGACTATTTCCCTCGTCTTAATTTCCACCAATCACAAACGCGCAATTTTGAATTACAAATATTTTCTGGTTGAAAAAAATGTATGACAGCACCTGTCAGCAGTTTTTTCGAGTTTACCCGCGGCAAAACTTGAGAGCTGTTGTCACCAAAAATTTCAATTTATATTTTAATTGTTAACTGTTACTCATGAAATAGTCTTCGGGCATCTAATTTTTCCTGTGAAAAAAATCGAAAAAACAATGGTAAGTAATATTTTTTAACAAAATGCATTCGTGCAGGTGCAAAAATCCTCGTCTTCGACTCGTATTTTTGTTGCCACCAGCACCATGCGTTTTGTTAAAATATTACTTAGCAACGTGTTTTTTCCATTTTTTTCGAAAAAATTAGATGCTCTTATGATATTACTTACGAAAAAACCACTTGTTTATACGACTTGCATATATGAAATGGGTTGCTATAGCAACCCATTGGTTGCTATGCTAAAAATAATTGTTGACGTTTTTAATTTTAAAATTAAAATGTTAAAAAACATGCGCTTTGGTCAAGAAAATCATACAGAAATTGATAGCAGTTAAAAATATTCGTGAAATAGTCTTGCCGAATACCACTCGTAATAAAATTTTGATTTTTATTTACTCAAGATTTTTCCTAGGAAATTTCGCTCGTGACATTAACTTAAAAATTTATGCCACTTGCGAAATATCAAAGAAAAAAACATTCGTATAAAAATCAAAAATTTTATCGGTAAAATTTTACCACTAGTGGTATTAAATACAAAAAACTGTATGACAACACCTGTCAGCAGTTTTTCGAGTTTACGCGCGGCAAAACTTGACAGCTGTTGTCACCAAAATTGCAATTTATATTTTAATTGTACCATAAATAATGAAGTTTGTAGTATTTTGTGATTAAATAAACTACCTATTTTTCAGTTTTCAATTTAATACCTACATACTTATTATGTATGCATGTATAATAGGTAGTATGTTTTGTAAGCTATTTGTATGCATAATAACTGGTACTCATGAAATAATCTTGTCAAATACCATTCCGGCATCCTATGAAAAAAATCGAAAAAACACAATGCTAAGTAATAACAAAATGCATTCGTGCAGGTGCAAAAATCCTCGTCTTCGAATCGGATTTTTGTTGCCACCAGCACTCATGCTTCTTGTTAAAATATTACTTAGCAACGTGTTTTTTCGATTTTTTTTTTCGAAAAAATTAGATGCCCTTATGATATTACTTACGATAATAGTATATTATGTATCGAGTTTAATAAACGCCATTTTGGTCACGAATTTAAATTAGGCACGAACAAGCTTGAGAGCGAGTGTTTAATTAAAAGAAAAGTTTATAAAAAAGTTTCATCCTATACTATTTTTTAAAACAAATACTTATTATCATCTAAAATTAATTTAAATTAAATATTTTCTGTGTAAATCGAAATGCAACCCTTGAAAATGGACTAACAACCGTTTAAATCCGATATAGAAGCAGTTTTTCACAGTGAAAGTAAAAATTTTATGGTCATCCACGGTGGAGACTCCACCTTAAGTTTTTATTACTTTATTCGTTAAATTTAGTTTACTGCCGGACACAGTCTTATATAAGACCGTGCTTCCGGCAAAATCAAAAGGTCAGTACAAACTTTTTAAATGCAGACATTGAGAAACTAATTAATACTTTTGTATTTTTGTATTAGATAAGACAATAATTTTTACATTTAGTATAATTTCACAGGAAGGGCACTTAATTTTAACGATTTAATGACATTTGACAACTGTCAAATAACTGAAATATATATATACATATATATATAAAGTTATAACTTAAGCCGGTGACTAAAAACCTGTTGCTAACTTCAGACCATGACCAACGCGCCATAAAGCTTGTCAATGTGTATTTAAAAGATCACTTGGACGCCTTTCTGCAGAAAGGAACCAACCCACAAAACCAAAACAATCGAGATATTTAGCCTATGAACTAATTAAGCATGTATAATTTATCTGCAAAATAGGTCATAGCCAAAATGCAAGTGTAGTGAAATCTATTAATCATTGAACCAACCAACATTCAATAATAGTGTGGATTACTAATCCAGAATTAGAATCTGTAGAATATCTGCAAGTGGGTTGGATCTTTTTTGTAAAAAAGCAGGCTGGTAGACCCACTAGCAAAGTCTTTAAAGATTTCCTGCTTCTGCAAAATATAAAGTCTTGATGCATTTTTTTGGTAGCTTACAAGATGAGGTGGGGTTGGAAGATGATGTGGACGAATTTCAAATAGAATAAAAATTAATTCATATTACCATTATAATACAGTAATATGTAGTAATATCAGTTGTATTTTGTTTGGAAATAAATAATTGTCGCTTTTCTTTAAATACATACATACATCAGATAGTAGTTTTCATAAATTGCAGAAAGGAACCAACCAACAAAAGCCCATTTTTTTCGTCACCCTTACACATAACATCACAAAATCCACCTGATGAAATTATTAAATTATATCCCTTAAACCTCCGTAAGTCCAAAATCGGCATAAAATTAACAGGTAATTTTAAAATTATTAAAATCTTTGATAGCTTTTTTCTCAGTTTCATCATGGTGTGGGTTGGTCCCATTCTGCAGAAAGCCGTCCACTTGGTGTCATGGAAACATGTACGAAAATGGGCGTTTTAAAGGTGGGAGTAGAAAATAGTATATTATGTATCAAGTTTGATAAACGCCATTTTATACACGAATTTAATTTAGGCACGAGCGAGCTTGCGAGCGAGTGCTTAAGTTAATAAATGTATAGAAACGTTTATAAACGAGGTGCATGCTATA